TCCCTCCCTGCTCCATACCTCAGCTGGGGGAAGCCTCTGGCTCCCACCTGGACCTCCACCCTGTGCAGGCCGGGCTGCAGCACAGGCAGCAGGCAGCTGATGGAGGTGTTGGTCCACATTAGGGGGGGGCACTCCCGCCCCCCCACCAGCACCATGCTGCCATTGTCCTGCCCTCCCAGCTCTGAGCCCTGGATGCTGAGGACCCGTCGTCCTACACGGAGCAGACAGATGGACGTCACTGAGACGGCTTCTGGGTAATAGCCAGAGGCTTTTGTCTGTTTTTTGCTTAGTTACAGATCTCTGGATCAGGAGGAGCTGATAAGTTTAAAAACTAGACTTTGTTCTGGTTCAGGTAGTTTTTCTTTATAGACGCTCAGTGGGTTTATCTGGAACAAACCAGAAACCAGATAAAAGCTTTTGGCTCTCAGGAGGTTAAATCAGATGCTTTCAACTTGAGGGGACGTATGTTAAAATCCTTGAATAAACACTTTTTTGACCCCATGAAAAGTAGAAAAACACAGTTATGATCAGAGGGGGTTAAAGTGAGGAAGACTTGGGAGACCTGAGGGTGAATCTCACCGATCACTGTGGTGCTCTGAGGGCTCAGGCTGGAGATCTTTGGTGTGAGGGCGCCGTCGTAGGTGAAGCTGCTGCTGGCCGTCTGGCTCCAGTTCCCCAGCCTCACCACCACCGGCTGGGCCCCCGCCGGCCCCTGGAACCAGCCCGGAGGTCAGATAGGCCCATCAGAAAGGCCCCGGACTGGGCCTCTGGGCCTCCGGACCTCTGGCTGCTTTCACATGGTGCATTCAGGGGCTCCACATGTGTGTTTAACCCTCTCTGTGTGTAACTTTTTGTGTTTAACAGACTCTGTGTGTAACTGTGTGTTTAATCCACTCTGTGTGCAACTGTGGGTTTAATCCACTCTGTGTGTAACTTTGTGTGCATACCTTTTTGTGTTTAACCGACTGTGTGTAACAAACACACAAGACAAACACAAACATGAATATTTTCCACAGATTTTCACCTCTAGCCTCTGTCACTTCCTGTTAAAAGTTTTTTTAACAGGAACATTTTTTTTTTTTTTAGGACTCTGACTCCCTTTACATGATGCATTCAGGGGCTGGTAAAAGCTGGGACATCCTGGCTCCGATCAAATTAACTGTTGCGTTGACACAAAATGATGAAAAATGACTATCTGTTTAGGAATTTGAGATATTCTAACTCTTTTTCACCACCAGGATCCTCCGTTTACCAGCACCTGAATGCACCATTTGAAGTCAAACTCCTGGAGATGGCCTACGCTGCGCGTGCACGTGTTAAAGGATCTTTTTTAAACACAGCCAGTGGGAAACCTCACCGCTGGCGTCCTGCACTTCAGCTCAGAGTCGGCCGACTGGACCAGTGCGCACTCGGCGCCGCCGACGGTCACGGTGGCGTCCGGCCCGAAGCTGAAGCCCCTCAGCGTCAGCAGGGTGCCGCCTGGCGAGCAGAGAGCAGCGTTAGGCCTCCAGGGGGCGCTCCAGGGGGAGGCGGGGCGCTTCTGGGGCGTTCAGGGACCGACCTGCCAGACTGCCGGACGGCGGGGAGACGGAGGACACGCCCAGCTGGTAGGTGAAGAGGAGCGGGAGTCCGCCGGCGTGCCGGGCGGCGCCCACAGAGGGGAAGCTGACCCAGACCGGGAAGGAGCCGGCGCTGGAGGGGCCCAGTCTGCACACCTGAGAGCCGGCTGGGGTCAGCCAGGAAAAGAAGGGATGTGGGTCAGATCAGAGAAGGGAGGCTTCATCTGGAGCAGGAGCCCCACAGCGGAGCTCCACTACAGGACCTAATGTGGAGCCAATCAGGAGCCCCTAAGTGGAGCTCCACTAAAGGACCTAATGTGGATCAGATCACAGTCAGGAGCCCCCATAGCGGAGCTCCTCTACAGGACCTAATGTGGATCCAATCAGGAGCCCCACAGCGGAGCTCCACTACAGGACCTAAGGTGGATCAGATTAGAGTCAGGAGCCCCACAGCAGAGCTCCGCGACAGGACCTAAGGTTGGATCAGATCAGACTCAGGAGCCCCCATAGCGGAGCTCCGCTACAGGACCCAATGTGGATCAGATCAGAGTCAGGAGCCTCACAGCGGAGCTCCGCTACAGGACTTACCGTGGATCAAACCAGAGTCGGCCCCCTTTTATGTGAGATAAAACACAGGCTAAAGTCGTGTTTGAGGACGTCTGGAAGGGCAGGGACTCACCTGTGACCTGTTCAACCCGACAACTGGCATTTCCCACCAAGATCGTAGCGTTTTCGTTCCTGAAGCCGGTTCCAGTGATGGTCAGAAGCGTCCCGAGGCCGTGTGAACCTGAACGCACCACATTGGTTTTAGCTGGGATGTTAAATTTAACTTCATTACTCACAGTGGGCGGCCCACCTTGAGACGGGCTGATTCCAGTCACGACTGGAGTCAGCTCCTCCGACCAGCTGAAGCTGCAGTCCCCGGAGCACCTGGAGGGGATCCCGTTGATGTAGACCTCCACCTGCAGACCCAGGCCGGCTTTCATTAACACCACAGAACAGGCATTTGCCTTCCTGATTTCTTGTTCTGATGTAAGGACGCAGCATTTCTGCCGCTCGCGACCAGGATCCTTCTTTTCTCTTTGACCTTTGACCTCTTGGCCTTATAGCAGACGCTATCAGACACTACTGTTTGAAATCTAAAGGAAAATGCATTTAGATGTTTTATCCAAATGGGCCAATGGGAGCAGGCATGCTGTCCCATGTGACCTGAGAAAGGAGAGGATACTATTTGGAATCCATTTAAATGAGGAGGAACATCTGTGTGGGAAATTCTTTAGAAAATCAATGAAAAATACGTTTTTTAGGTGTTTAGATGAAGAAAAGTCATCTAAGTAATTTAAAGAAAAATGGTTTTAGACATTTTACACCAGGCGTGTTCTTATTGTGGAATTTAAATGTTGTAAACAAGTAATTTGGACCCTCAGAACCAAATGGTAAAAACAATTAAATAAATCAATGAACAGACATTTTAAATCTAAAGATAAACCCACTGAGCCTCTATGAAGAAAAACTACCAGTACCAGGACAAAGTCTAGTTATCAAACTTATCAGCTCCTACTGCTCCACAGATCAGGAAATAAGCAAAAAACAGATAAAAGCTTTTGGCTCTCAGGAGGTTTAAGGAGCTGAAATCACAAAAACACCAAACAGAAAGGCAGAAACAGGATAAAACAGGATGAAAACTGGACAAAAACAGGACAGAAACAGGACGAAAACAGGACTAAAACAGGACAAAAACAGGACGAAAACAGGACTAAAACAGGACTAAAACAGGACTAAAACAGGACCTGCCCACATAGAAAACAGGTCAGAGATGTTGGAAATGTGAAAGAACCGGAGCCAAAGCTGCACCTGCGGTTTCTCCTCTGCCAGTCGGAAGAAATCTCCAGTCAGGCTTCGGATCAGCAACCCTCCTTTCACCGACTCTCTGGCCGAGAGCTGCACCTCTCTGCCCACCACGCCGGAGCCGTCCACCTGAACCCGACCAGAACCAGGACCAGATCAGAACCAGCACCAGATCAGAGCCAGAACCAGAATCAGATCAGAACCAGATCAGATCCAGAACCTGACCAGGACCAGACCAGAACCAGGACCAGATCAGAACCTGATCAGAACCAGATCAGATCCAGAACCTAAACCTGATCAGATCCAGAACCAGAACCCAATAAGAACCAGATCCAGATCAAATCCAGAACCTGATTAGAACCTGGTCAGATCCAGAACCTGATCATGAGTCTTTGGATGTTAAATAAACAGAAAAAATATTTTTATTCCATCCATCCATCCATCCATCCATCCATCCATCCATCCATCCATCCATCCATCCATCCATCCATCCATCCATCCAATAATTCCAAATGCATCATGAGATCCTACTTTCTGCCTGGATGACAGAGAAAAAACACATTTCTCTAAGAAATTCTCAGCTAGAAGGACTGAAAACCAGAGAAGAAGCAGAAAAATCTGCAGAAAGCTGCAGCTCAGAGACCCTTTGGAGGTTAAAGGTCGGGCTGTTGGTCTCCTACAAACATTTCCTGAGGTTAAACGGTTCTTTCTGTGACAGTGGGAGGAGGGTCAGAGGGGTCAGGGGTCAGACCTCCATCAGGGGCTGGTCTCCGGGTCGGGTCAGCCACTCCACCCTCCACTTGGGCCGCCTGCAGCTTCCCTGCTGGGACACCTTGAGCTGGCCCATGCCGGCGATGCCCTCCAGAGCGAACTGCAGGTCCTCCTCCCCGATGTCCACCGACAGACCTGGGACACAGACACCTCCGTACTGCGTGGGACTGAAAGGCCAAAAGCCTTTTCTGTTCTCAACAGCAGGACGCTAATAGCTAAGTATTTGTTTATCTATTCATCATGAACAATAATTCAATCTGTAACCACAG